TCAAATCAACCATGTTTTGAGGGTAGTCTCACATTTTCCATTGTCATTTGGCCTTGTTCACATTTACTGCTAGATTCGTGGTACAACACGTGTTAGATAGACATTAGCATAGCATTAGTTCAGAATGGATGGAGTGACAAATGATGATCAAGGCTGTTGCTTCCAGTTATCCCAACGTCAGGTGCTAGTTAACATATTTATTCTAGAATTTTATCAATCTTTATGACATGAAAACATCTAGGTTGACAGCTCTATAGATTTGAAAGAGTTTCCTAGTTTGATTTAGCAGTCAAGACAAGATGGTGATTTTCAGCAGCCCTCTGAATACCTCTCGAGCAGGAACTCTAAATTTGATCTGTTAGCATGGCAGACACATATATAAACTCTAAATTTCAATCGCATTTCAAGTTTTCTCCAGGACTTACTGGCAACTAATCCTTAAAAACATTGTTACTCAAAGTTGTTTGTTACACAGGAATTCAATTCGGATGCTGACGTTCAAGCTAACTTTGGAGCCCAACTTGCTCGTATGAAGCTGCTGTGATTACCTCACCTTTGAATTGCTAGCTACAACTCTACAAAACAGATACGTGATTTGATCTCTTCCTTTGTAGAGTTGATGAAGTTCAAGAGCTGTCAGTATGTTGAGTTGCCATTGGCAGAGAAAACAAGACTTGGGACTTGAGAGTATAGACAATTAATACTAATTGACTAGGTGATTACATCACAGAGTGCAGTTGATATTAGATATTCATATCTGTGTAATGACACATTCGGCAGAACATCTGTGTAGTGCCAATCCACTGCTGAATCCATAGTTGTTTAGCTTTATGTATGAAAACTTATGTCTGTACCAAAGATTTTGAAGTTTGGATGCATCCAATGTTAATATGTGCTCTCATTGTTAATTGTTTCTGAACAATTCTTGTTAATGTGTGTTCTGGTCAGATTTGAATTATATATGCATATATATATATATATGTGTGTGTGTGTGTTTTCTGGTCGAATTTGAATTATAAATTAAATTTTTTTTTACGAAACCGCCCCTATAAACAGGTATTATAGGGACGGCTGGTACTACAGCCGCCCTTACAAATCGATTTGTAGGGGCGGCTGATAACACCAGCCGCCTCTACAAATCAATTTGCAGGGGCAGTCAGAGAACCGCCTCTACAAATGCATGATTTGTAGAGACGGTATGGTAGGGGTGGCTGGCCGAGCCGCCTCTACAAAGCCTCACCAGCCGCCCCTAGAAACCATTCCTTTAGTAGTGAGTTTAGGGACAAATTGAGGTCCTATGGGTTAGTAGGGACGTCATGCGGGATGTTTGGACTAGAGAACGATGTACATGAAGATTTGTTGATGTGGGAGTATGTCATTCGATATCAACAAACTATATTGATCTGACTGCAACTGCCAGTAGTCTGATCGAATAGACACGACGACGGAGCAGGTCGTGTAGGTGTCGGTGCTGTTGTATGTGTTGAATATTTAGCCATTTTCCAGCATACTTTAATCCAGAAATATGATAACACATTAATCATGACACAAACAAAGATGAATCATGCACATGAATATTTAGTCATTTTTCGGCATACACGATGACGCATCTTAGTTTCAATTGATTCGCATCATGTTTCTTGGTTCCAGCATATCCCAATGTTAGTTGCAGTACTTTTCTTGGATCTGCAGATGAAAATGTCCTTTCTTCTTTTGGAGTTGGCGGACTTCTATCTTTGTGGATTTCAACTTGTGATTCTTATTCCCTGCATTGATTCACCAAATGAGTGCTTAGGAAAAGCAACTATTGCACATGCTAATGTTGAGCTAGATGGTAGTGTACCAATGGATGTGGATAAGGATGTAGAGGTGAATGTTCTCGATGACATGGATGTAATGGATCGGAGGTCAACCAAGATGTTATGCAAGATCAGCAGGATCTCATGTAATTGATCTGTATCTCATGGAGATTGATTAGTTGTGCAACTAATTTGGTACAAATCAGGGCCTTTTAGGTTTTGCCCAAATGTTCTCAAAAAAAGGATTTGCCCAAATGGTATACCTAAGTGTAGAACTAATTCGTCTTTGTATCCTAGCTTTCGTCATGGTAGCTACCTGGTAGTGTCAGCCTAATTATTAGTTATGAATGTATGGACCTGAATGACCAATGTGGCAATGTGCATTAATAGATTATTTCTTTTGCTTAACGAAACTAGGGTAATGACATCGGAATTTAAGTGCTTAGTTTGGCTTTATTTCAAAAGGAGTGCATGCAAGAAGTTGAATTTGTGCACCTTATTGGTGAACACCGGATGATACTTCGGTTAATATGTTAACATCATCGTATGATACTAACATGTATGATTCGACCCAAAACTCCACCGACGGTGTACACTGCATCCCATGCCTGTCATATCTAGTAGCCGATGGGGATGGTGTCATCCAATATATATAGCCCTCCACGCGGGATTGGAAAGCTTGGATGAAATTTCTATTTCCACCGCTCCTCCTTTTTTGGGACCCCACGAGCCTTCTCCCCACCTCTCCTCCACACCACTGTGCTCAGCTGATGGTTTGGTCCTCCACAACAGTGTGCCCGCCCCTACTCACTGGTGTGCAAAGCTGCTGCTCATCGGCGAGCCCGCTTGTGCTCCCCACCACTCCTCTCACTGGCATGGCCGCTGGGAATAATCCCCGCCACTCCTCTTCATCGACGTGGCTACTCCTGCTCACCTCCGGACCTACTCCCCGCCATAATTCCTCACCAGCGTGGACGCTAATGGTCACTGCCGGACCTACTCCCTGCCGCAACAACTACGCGTTAAGGTAAGCAGTCCATTCCAGCTACACTTGCGGGTCTGATTCCTTGATAGAAATTTGGGCCTGTAAGTTTGTGTATTTAGTAAAAAGGCTTTGTTCGGTGACTTATACAATGATACTTGTGATATTGTTGAATCCTTGAGCAGGAACACATATGTGAGGCTCCTGTCCCAAAATTCTTAAGGTAGTTTTAGCCATGAATACAATCGTCCAATATGATCACTTTGTCTTTTTTTTATTGACATATGACATACATGTATAAAATAAACTGCATTTTTGCCGAAATGCCACCTTTTGTCAGGGCATAAGCTAATCCTCACAAGAGGGGGATGACAAGGGGAATCATATCTCGTCCTTGCTTGTGAGCAATATTGCCGAGGTAAGTGAGTAAGCACACTTTAGTTCACATCCTTTCATTCTGTTTGGATCTAGTTATATTCAATCGTCACCATGGTGCACAAAGTAACCATACCTAGTCCTTGTCTTTGACCAACATTGGTAAGGTAATTCAACAAGAAAATCACTTTAATTCACATCCTTCAATTCAATTTGGATCTAATTATATTCACTCTTCACAATGGCACATAGGGAAACCATACGTACGTAGTCCTTATGACCAACAATCACTAGGTACTTGAACAAGAGCAAATCACTTATATTGAAATGGTTCAATTCAGTTGGGAACTAATTATATTCACTCTGCATTGCACCCAGTAGGGCATATACCAAGGAGTTGTCTGATGAAGCACAACTACCTCGTTTCATTATATAAGTTTGTGAATAGAGATCAATGTCTTATTATGTAATCAAGGGGCAGCTTGGGTAGTACACCAGCTCATAGCGGGCATATCTATCCTCACGTTCTATGTTAGCGTGGATTGCTCTTGTAAACCTTAAACTTGTTGCCGGACAGAATGTATAGATTTGATGATTATATCTGTATAGTTTGTTAAATAGGCTATTAAACTTCATCTCAATAAATATAGTGAAAACATAATATCATAGCCGGACCAATAACATTCCGGCACATTCCGGTAGTGAAGAAGGTCATCAACGCCGGATCATACTACCAGCGGTGAACTAATAGTGATCACCACTGGGTTAATGCATGACCCGACCTTGATCAATTTCTCATCACCACCGGATTGAACCAATAATTGGTGGTGACCAAATGCTCATCACCACCGGAGTGCACCTCTGACTGACGGTGATCAAATGATCATCAACACCGGATCATGTTGTAAACGGACATGATTACAGGATCAACAATGTTGGTTCAAACTTTGAACCGATGGTGACTTTATCGTTATCACAGCCGAATAGAATGGCGAACCGGCGGTGATAGCAGATTACCACCGGTGGTAATATTCAAGGCTATCACCGTCGACATATCACCACCGAGGGGCAAAACCGACGACGATTGGGTGGGTGGGTGGGGGGGGGTCCGAACCGGCAGTGTTGATATTTCTGTAGTAGTGAGTGGTATGTTGAATTGGGATATATGTCTAAGTTCTTTCTTAGAGAGAGATAAAATTATCTTATATCCATCCATCCTCTCTCTAATCACTGTTTCAGTCCTTCACAAACAAATAGGCTCTAGCATATTTATGGGCCTTGTTTAGCTGCATTGGGCTTTCAGCTCTGAGTGTTCTATGAAATAGTAGTTTTTAATTGTGTTGCTAATAGAATGTTGAGGGCAAGCGTGAACGAGAAGGATGTATCCTTCTAGAAGATACCTTCGGCCTTTTTTGATTTCATGCTAATCTATCTCCATGCCACAATACACATGGATTAGGGTAAATTAAAGTACAACCAAATAAAATTCCTTCAAAATATCGTTTGCCAGTGTCGGTGTATTGTGTGTTGCAACTTTGCTGCTACAGTGACATGTGAGAGGGAAAAGGCGGCTGCTCACATATCACTACAGCAGCAGCGCTGCAATGCGTAGCCGAACAGGCTGATAAGTGTCACATACTCACGTACTTGATGCTTGTGGGAACGTTGATGTATATGTTTTCATCACTTATTAGTTATTTCTACCGGTCTAGAACCGACAGTGATAGACTTGGTTGTAAGGACGAATTGTTTACATTTTAATTATTGCAGGATCAAATTCAACAAAAAAAAGGAACAAGATACAACACTGTGGCATGACGCTAATGCGGGAATAAGCTGGATTATCAATGGCCATGGACGTCATTTGCAGCAGCTAATAAATTGTGTCCTTGGTGAGGCGGTGGCGATGGGCGTTGGCCGGGGCGGAAGGGTGTGTGTGCAGATGGAGGCGGAGGTGATGGCACCGTCCTCGACCCTGCACACGCATTTATATCATAATAAGGAAGTGAAATAATACCATGCAAATTGCACAAGCACACTTTGTGAAGTTAGAGTAGTCTCAACCCATAAACTAAGATGGTTTATGTGACTATTACTTAGAGTTTCAATTAAGCAAAATAGTAATGTGGTATTGGAATTAAAGAAGGGAGAAGAAAATAGTTTTTTTAAAAAAATTATGTTTACACAAGGAACAAGATAGGAAGAGATGTGATAGATCGATGATAGGAGAAAGAATACAGGCGATTAGATAAAAATGTTCTGAACAAACCATCTATTAAGAACATGGTTTCTTTATGTACTATGTTTACTGTAGCATAAACTAGAAATAGCATTACGAGAAGACGTAGGTACCTGCTTGCACAGGCTCAACGTGGAGAGCGAAAAGGACCAGTGCAGCTGCGAAGATCAGCGAGCACGCGACCAGAGATGGCGCTTTCTTCATTTCTGTCGCTGTGTCTCTCAACTCGCTCGCAACTTAATAAATGTAATGGTAAGCTCGTGGTCGTGGATGCATCCATATTTTTGTGAGAATCCTGCCTCTTTATACTAGCTCGCAGTCGCAACCGGGGCAGGGCAGCGAGTTTTCAGGGCCCACAGCTTGCTAGCAGGTGTACATGTGCAACCAAGTCCAAGCTCATCTGGCGGGTCGTGCGCGTCTGCAGAGCTTCGTTACGCACGAGTCATGACGCATTGACGCGTGCCATAGCTTTTCTTTTCGCTGAGTGTTGAATGGCCGAATGGTTGACTTGACGTCTGACGGGCGACGACGAGCTTCAGTGCCCGAGGGGGAAAATGTGCAGCTACACAGCACCCTGTCACTTTCTTGGAGAAAACCGTGTGGGAGAAAGCGGGTTCAACGACGACGACGACGACCAGCGGCATGAAAATGACGGCTAAGGCCGTAAGGCGGCGCGATGGCGCAGAGCGAAGGCCAAGGCGACGGGCCATCGCCTGGGAGGAACAGGTCCCCGGTCGATTGGAACAAGCAATACCCCGGTCCCGGCCCATGCCCATCCGTGGAAAACTTGAGCTTGGGCCGACGATACCGGACTGTCAATGTGGGCGACCGTAACATTTGTGAACATAGAACAACAGCAAACCTCCTTTTGGTTTTATTGCTCCTCTTTTCTCTTTGTTTTTGTTTGGGTTTGGGCATGTATGTTCATGGTTCACCACATTGCTCCTCTTCACAAAATCAGAACATTGACAGAACCCAAGACGACGATCTGAAAGAAAGAGGGTGGGAAAGACTGAAGAACGGCAATTAAGCTGATACTAAAAGAAGGTGCGTCGCCTCCTAGGTAAAGCCGAAAGAGGTAGTGGATTAACAGCAGCATCTCCATCGTACTAGTGGGGTACATCATAGGCTGATAACACAAGGTGGTGAATAGGGGGAGACCATCACATCGCTATTCATTGACGGCGTTCCTATCCTACCAGCTCCGCCCGATCTCCCGGTGGGGCTGCGCAACAGGCGGCGGCGGGGGAGCACCGGGGTGTCTGCACTCGGGCTCAGGGTCGGGGCACATGTGCTGCACAGTGCCTCCTCGAGGTGGCGGCGGCGACCAGCCGTCATGCCCTCCGTCTGGCTGAGCAGCTGCACGGTGCGCATATATGCATGGTCTCCATCATCATCAACAGAGATTCTTAATGAAGTTACAGTAAGTACTGCTCCTAATTGGACATGCATGCCATACATATACACATAACATACCTTGGACCTCCGAGCAGTCGACGATGACGTAACAAGAAGAGACGATGACAGCCAGGATCATCGTTATCACATACACGAAGCGAAGACAAGAACACCTCTTCCTCGTCATGGTGTGGTCAGTGGTCGTCTATGAGTATCAGTAGAGCAAGGGATGGATATGCTGGCAACCCCTCTTGTTCAGTTTGCCTTGGTCTGTCTTCTACGACCTATACAGCCTGTTCGAAATTGTTGACTTGTTCGTTGCTGGTTTGTGAGAAAGTATTAATGACTGATTTATGTAAGAGAAAAATACTATTCCTAGCTAAAAACACTGTTCATGTGAACAGTGTCAGTGTAAGGGGCTAGCCCCAGCCAGCCGCTCCAGCCAGACTGATAGTCGTCTTTTATACATACTACTGATCACTTGGACTGATCCAACTAGTAGACAAAAAAAAACTAGTATATTTAAACATGCAGAGTAATAGTACACTAAACTTTTGTCATAGCTTAAACATTACCACGTTATAGTACCTTAAGTTTGACCAATTATAAATAAAAAAATATTAATATTTATGATATCAAATAAATATCATTAGATTAATTACAAAATATATTTTTATAATCAATTGATTTGGAGCGATAAATGTGAATACTATTTATTAGAAACTTGATTAAACATGAACCATTTTAACGGCATGTAACCCATTGTTGCATTCTTTCCCGGACAGAGGTAGTACTTGCTAGCCGTTCATCTTGACCTATTAGACCTTAATAATAAATGCCCTAATTGGCCCTATCCGGATGGCCTTCTTTCGTACAGTATATTAGTAGTACAGTACTTCAAACGTAAGAACGAAGCTGCGAGCCAGGACCAGTCACTCAAACCTAATTGTCAAACTTTTGAGAACCAACCACCCAAACAAAACTCTGCAATATGTAGTACGTCCTAAACTATGGATGCAACTGTCTGCTACGCGACATGTGGTGCATCCAGCGTGGTAATAAGAATGTTTATATTACAATGAACGAATGACATGCATGGTTCATTCGCCCCCACTAAACTTTTTTTTCCAAAAAAAAAAACTTTTGAGACAGACCAAAACGCGTATATATATATACATGTGTGGACCGTGACGTATTCTTTAACTTCATTTTTCAACTCGCGTTCCAGTAGACAAGCCGTCTCGCCTGTTCATTACAGAATTGTTCCACGGTTGAAAAAGTCTAGGCAAGAACACGTCTCCAATGCAACAAATCCAATCCTAGGCGTCTGTTGTAAAAAAAAAAAAAAAAAACCCTAGGCATCGGATAGCTGAGAGAGCTACCTCAGCCTCGTATACCATCCCACGGTGTTGAGCCTGTTCACAGGCTTATCAGCTAGAATGAGTCATATTTTATAGCCATGAAATAGTGTTTTTCTCTCACAAAAAATCAGGCCTACAAATTAGCCGTAACCACAGTAAATTCTGCCGAACAGACCCGTTGAAGCAAGCAGACCTAAATAATTGTCGCTGTCAACTTAGAAAATTTTCAGACGTAACACGTTGGTATTAAAGGAAAGTTAAAAGAAAGAAAAAAAATCCATTCTACCTCCCTAAATGTCGTTATAGTATGATATTTCTCCTTAACTCCAAAACCAGACATCTTATATACACTCTAAACTCTTGTCGGGGTCACATACCCGGAGTGTCCCAAGGCCCGGATAAGTTGAAGGCAGAGCACACCTCAGGCAGCCCAGCAGCCTTAGCACAAGGCCCACAAAGGACACGCCGGCCGCCTCGACCTCTCCTCGGGGGTACGCCGACAAGGCCAGGGGCAGGTGGTGCATTTAATGCACCTGCCCCGATGGGATGCGGCTACGACGCAAGTCCACCCAAGTACCGAGAAGGACGAGCGCCTCTCGGACCGCGGGACCAAGGGGCGAAGCGTCACCCTTCGGACCGCCTACACAGATAGGACCGCAGTCCAATCCAAGCAGCATCAGGAGCAGCACGCCACCGTCCTCGCCTCGACACAGCACCGTCCCTGTCTGCCAAACTTGGTAGACAGGCGTACTGCCCCAACCACTACGGGCATGGGCCGCACGACCAAGGGCCGAACCAGCTAGGATCAACCTGGCCTGAGGAAGCCTCGACCTCGCCTAGGGGGGTCGAGGTCAACTCTGCCACCGCCAGGAGGGTAGGTGGTCTAGGACGGACGTCATGCTATCGCCATGAGACTACGATGCCGCTCACCGGTGGCAGGCGCAAGGACGGAAGCCACGCCACGCACTGTGTGCCCGTCGCGCACAGGGCAGTAGGCGAACAACCACGATCAGAACAGTGCCACCATGACGCGCCATGCCTTGGCGTGAGGAGCAAGAACCCAACAACTCCATCCGGGCGTACCGACGGAACCAAGACAAGATAGGAAGGCCATCAACCAAGCCAGCTAGCCTCCCCTTTCCCATGAGCTCTCTCTTTATCTCTCTCTCTCTCTTTACATTGTCACTCGGACCCAAGACTATATAAGGGGAGCCGGGCCTTCCTCCAGGAGCAGGACTCTCTTCTAGAGGGTTGTGGACACTTACATAGACAGACCAACAATAGATCGATCCCTCCTGTGGATCGACGCCCCTATCTTGAACCCCCCTGTTGTAAACAACTTCAGAGCACTTGAACCGAGGAACACGAACTCACGATGCTCTGAGACTAGACGTAGGGCTCCGTCCTGAACCAGTATAATTCCTTGTGCCTCGAGTGCTATCATCCAGTTCCCTAGAGCAGCGCGGCAATAAAAATTTACTGGTCAGTCCACGAAACACCGACAGTTGGCGCGCCAAGTAGGGGCAGTCGCGCACTCACGTTGAGAGAAGGGAGCAGTTGGCACCTTGCACCTATGTCAGACTTGCTCTCGATGCAGCCCCCGGTGGCCGTATCCGTTTCGGGAGCCTAGAGTTCATCGACATCGATGGGCCCGTTACCACTTTTGATTTCCACCCCGACCAGGCACTCCGCTTCAAAGACCTGGATTTTGCAGCAAACCACCTAGGTTAGCTACACCTCTGCGAGGGGGGCGTTCCCCCGCCGAAGGCGCCATCGAAGGACACTGCCCCGCTCATCGATGGCCCGGCGGACATCGATCCGAAAGCGCTGGCATCCCGGATCAACGCCTACGTTGGGCCCAACCCTGAGCCAGAACAGTGCCGACGAGCCTTTTACGCGTTGGCCAACACGTTCTCCTATGTTTTGAGGGGCTAGCCTATGCCCCCAGAAGCTAAATTCTAGACCCCTATATCGCACTTCCTTATGGCCTACGAGGCATCACAGAGCTCTTTGCACAAGAGCTCGTGGGGCATGCATGCGCCCTGCCGGCGCTTAGTAGCCCTAGATTTGTGGGGATGGTGGACTGAGCCCCCGAATCCTTCTATGACCTCCTGACCTCATCCCTATCCATGGCAGACTCTGGGACTAGCTTTGAAGGGAGCAGCCACCCCTCACGAGAGCGCAATATGCTGCACATCGTGGGGGAAGAGGCGAGGCGCAGGAGGAAGAGGGCGACGGATACCAGATCCCACGAACACCAGGAGAGCAAGCGACATACGACCAGGAAAGGATAGAGTGAGCCAGGGCCCACGAGGCTGACTAGCAAATGGCGAAGGGTGCCCCAACCCACAGCACCTCGATGTGGCGGGCGCGCAGGCACGAGCATGCCTAGTCTACGACCACATATAACAGGGTGAGGAGGAAACACTAGTTTTCCCCCGAGCGAGCCAGAACATCGCGGCGGCAGCAATGATCATGCGTACCGCCCCTGAGACGATGGACGACAAAGGCAAGCACATCCATAGGGAACTTCAAGACTTGCTGGAGGCTGCGGCCATGCAGTAGGCACAGAGCTCTATCGACTGGCGATGGCTCGAGGCTAGCGCCAGACCCACCTCGTGCGGCCGTGGCGCCCCCAGCGAGCACCACACGCAAGCCGGAGTCTGGCCCATCAACAATGGAGCAGGGCGTAGGTGGGAGGCCACTCTGGTCCACAGCTGGTTCATCGGCAACCGAAACGCTCGTGTGGCTCCGGGAGCCCGGTGCCTCGAGCTAGGAGCGGTGAACGGCAACCGCCGTGTAGCCCCGTTAATGACCCCGGTGGTTACGAGCGCTGTCGGAACAACCAGGACGCCCAGCGTAGTCTGAGCCCTAGACTCCTACGGTCCATGGGCGTTCGCAAGGAGGATTCGGCAAGTACTCTGGGGACACCAACATCGCCTATTCCGGCACGGTTCCACGCGCCGCCCAACATTGACAAGTACTCTAGGGACACCAACCTCGACGTATGGCTCAAGGATTTCCACCTCGCATGCCGGGAAGGTAGAGCAGATGATGACCTCTTCATCATCCAGTACCTGCCCCTCTACCTTGCGAAAAGCGTGCGAGCATGGATCGAGTATCTCCTAGCGGATTGCATCCGCTCATGGGCTGACCTCAAGCGCATCATCATGGGGAACTTCCAGGGCACATACGTGCGCCCCAAAAATTCCTGTGACCTCAAGAGCTGCAAGCAGAAGGCCAGGGAGACTCTCTAAGAGTACATCCACCGCTTCTCCATGTAGTGCAATGAGCTCCCTGACATTATCGATGCCGATGTGATTGGAGCTTTCATCTCCGGTACCACCAACACGGCCCTCGTCCACGAGCTCGGGCGCTGCAAACCACAGATGACACGGGTGTTGCTCGACCTCGCCACCAGCCACGCCTCCATTGAGGAGGCCATCTGTGCCAACTTTGGTAGAGGTAGAGGCAAGGCCCCTGCCGAGCAAGCAAATGAGGCTAGGGAGCATCCGCGATAGTGGAAGAGCAGGAAGGACAATGAAGCGCCGTGACAGCGAGTTTATCACGGTAGCCGACCAGATCGACAAACGGAAAATCGGTAGGCCCAATCCCATTAGCTTTGAGAAGATGATGAAGGCGTCGTGCCACAACCAAGGCTTCCCGGTCAAGCACGCCCTCGAGGATTGTGACCTCTTGAAGCGCTACCTTAGGGGCGAATACACATCGGCCAGCTAAGAGAAGCCAGCGCAACCGGAACGTGATGAGGAAAAGGGGACGCTTTCCCCAACCCAAAAGGGTGCCTCATGATCATTGGTGGGCCGAC